AAAAAAACATTTTTAATTTAGTAAATCTGTAAATAAATATGCATACCTTTCAATCAGTCCTTGTCCAACTCTGAAGCCCATCAACTCTAGAGTAGAGACACACGTCACTCTCTCCTTAAGAAAGTGCATCAGAGCATAATGTAAATGGAAAAAAAAAAAGCTATATTAAAACATAATTAAAGCATGGAAAAAAGATATATATATATATACATATATATATGCAATCGGGACAATTGTAGATGGTACCTTGTCAATGTCCTCCCAAGTTGCCTGTTCCTTGTACACGTGAGCAACAATCTCCATGTGGAGGAATTCAAACAGAGCGTCATCTGCCATATCTGAAAGAGAATATCCATTCAAAGTTCCTCAAACATCTGGAAAATGGCCATTTTAACCCATTTAGGCCTACAGACTAATTAAAGTGGCTCTTCCTCTCCTTTTTTTTTTTCACTAGTGAATATTTTTAAGTGACTACAGGTGTTTTAAAAACAACTGGCATATAAATATGCAACCTGGGAAAGAGATTGTGACAATTTGTTGTATAATGTGTCACGTGGTCATGTTTAATTCAACTGTCTAATACAAGGGTTTTCAAGCTGGGGTCCGTTTAAATAAATTAATTTCAATAAATAAATAAATAAATAAATGCATACATACAAGTACTAACAGTACTAGTGAGCAGGAAAAAAAAAAACGGAAATGAAATGGTTGCCAAATAATGTTTACACATATTTATAATATTAATTTATCACAGTATGAACTCTTTATGAATTCAAATATAAATCTTCCTTTTAATTTTTAGGATGGGATTACCATGAGGACCGTGGAATCTAAAACATTGAAACCCCTCGCCTAATATACAATATATAACATAAATCTCGTTGTCCTGAGTATTCTTGCGTATTAGTTCTCTTTGAACTTTTTTTTAGTTTTGTGTAAATATACACGAGAACTTTACAGAAGCTGTGTTGTAATATTGTGTCTTCAGTATGTTGTTGACGTGCATTAACTTTGTCAAAACCGACGCCTGCAAGCTTGCTGCTAAAAGTCTTTTCCAATCTGAGCTTTATATTTAAAATATTTACGTGATTCGTAAGACTACAAACCCTGAATATGCATATAAATTTACATCTGCGTGATTAAAGTGAAGACAGCCGCTCAGCTAATGTTAGCGCACCTCCAGCGATAGAGCTAACTTGCTCAGTCTGTTGATGTTAAATATGATATGGCATTAGCATAAACACATATAAATCACTTACTCCTTGCACGTATCTTCAGGCATGCAATGAAAATACATTTATAAAGAACCAGACACACAAAATCCGCCTTCAGTTAAGTGTTGCGCTGATACTCACAGCCAATACTGCCACCTGCTGCTATGGAGTTTAACGACTTCAGATTTCTTCTCTGACCCAAACGACTGTAAAGTTCATTATTAAGTTGATTGTGATATATCACAATATTACCGTGTTACTGTATTTTTTTTTATTATCAGATGAGCATCAAGTGAGCATAGGAGGCTTATTTTTAAATAATTAAAACATCTAACTGACCCCATATAGTTCGGATATTGAGACTATTTCAAAGCCATGTAAAAATAAGTTTGCCGTACTTAAGTATGATTACATGTTAAATTGACTTTTTTTTCTTATACTTGAGTATGTTTTTAGCACTTTATGACTTTTGAGTAAAATTTTGACAATACCCATAGTTTAACATAAATGTAATTTATTTCTTAATGCAATGTGATTTCTGTATGTATTAGTAAGATTGCTGGACTTAGTGGCGTTACATCCCAACCCTGATTGATTTAGCATGTCAAAAATACTATGACACATATCAGTGAAATATTACTTTATAATAAGAGGCAAGCAGTTATTGAAATTAACAGACTTATAAGTTCATACTTAACCACATATGAGTTCAGATTAGATGATAAAATTCATGATAACACACCTTCTTTTGTTAAAATCAGCCTTAAAAGTGTGTCCCAAACCTAATTGGAAGAAACTGATATTTTACACAACTTTAAGCTTACCAATAACTCACTTTTTTCTCAGATAATGCAAGATGATTACAGACATAAAGCTACCTTGGTCCGAACTGCAATTTCGAAACAGTCACTGTTAAGTTACTTACCATCTAAGATTCACATCGAGTGTTAGTTCGCAAACAAACCAAAGTAAATAAATAATGAGTCTATTGTTCTATTTCTCCAAAGTGTTACTGATTAAAACATCAGAGCACTGAATACTTTCCTATGAAACTGAAAAATGCATATGTTGATGTTTCAGATCAGACCACCACCTGAAACATCTACAGAACAAAATACTTTTGTTGTTCCTACTGAATGTGTAACGTCCCAAACAAGCAGCACTCAATCGTGCTTACACAATCCATTCAGCACAATAGCGTTCTTGGTTGAGGACGAAATCTCTAAAGAAGGTGGGCTAGAGGTGTTTGCTTTGCACCCTTCCAGGGTTTGAGGAGTCTCAGTGTCACTGCCCGACTCAGAAGTTGACCTCTTGTGGACTTCCAAGAGAGAGACCTTCCAAGGAGCAGCTGCTGGTTCGCTTTTGGGCATGAGGAACGTGGGATATGGCTCAAAAGTCTGCGTTTGAGCTTCATGCACATTTGGACTGACTGAAGAGTCCGTGTCCAGCGTCTCAAGCTTGGATTGGTGGTTCCTGGTGAAATTGGAGAGCTGCTCCAGGACCTGGATCTGGCGATCCATCATTCCCAGCATGCTGCAGTGGAAGGCTCTCTGCTCGGCCAGCTGTTCTCCAAGCCGGTGGTTCAGGATGGTTAGCTGCTGGAGGATCAGGCTGCTAGTCTCTTCAGAAGTTCCTGCTGGGATAAAACAAGAAGAACTGTGACTCGTGAGGTGCTTTTGGTTGTTGTACCAGAGAGAACTGAACCAGTATGTCACCTGGGAAATCATTGTAGCTGCAGTCAACAGCGTCTCTTGTACTTTCTGTGCTGTTGGGA